TGATAAAAGCCATCGATGACAAACGAATAGCTAACATCATACTAAATGGTCAAAAAATGAAAGCTTTTACTCTAAAATCAGGAACAAGACAAAGAAGTCCACTAGCATCACTCTTATTCAATTTAGCCCTAGAAACATTAACCAGAACAATTAAACAAGAAAAATAAAAAGAATCAAGATACGAAAAGAAGAAGTTGAATTACTGTTATTTGCAGATGACATCTTATTCTAAGTAGAAGACCTCCAAAAACTCTACCAATAAACTTGTAGATTTAATAACCAAATTTAAAAGTGTAGCTAGATACACCAAAAAAATACTATAGCTAGATACAAAGTCAATACTCAAAAATCAATAGTACTCTAGTACACAAACAAAAAATTCACTGCAAGAGAAATTAGTGAAACACCACCATTCACAACAGCATCCCAAGAAATGAAATCAATCTAACAAAGAAAGTAAAAGTTCTATACCCTGAAAATTATAGTTCTCTGAAAAAAGAGATCACAGAGGGTATCAGAAATGGAAAGATGTTAAAACTCTAAAGTTGATGGATAGGACAACTCAACATACTGAAAATGTCCGTACTCCCAAAATTGTTACACAGATTTAATACAATTTCAATCAAAATACCACTCACATTCCTCACAGAACTAGAGAAAACATCTCTCAAATTCATTTGGAATCAGAAGAGATCTAGCATAGCAAAGTAATTCTGGACAACAAAAGCAAAGCAAGGGGCAACATAATCTCTGAACTAAAGTTATATTATAAACCTACTGTGATAAAATCAGTACAGTATTGGAAAAAAAAAAAAAAACAGACCTGAGGATCAGTGAAACATTAGAAGATGCACACACAACTACAAATACACTCAGCCACCTTATCTTTCACAAAGAGGCCAACCATACAATGGAAGATAGTCTCTTTAATAAATGTCACTGGAAAAACTGGCTTTCCACATGTCAATGACTAACACACTATGCGCTACCCTAAAGTCAAAAGAAATTAAACACCTAAATATAAAAACACAAACACTAAATATATTGGAAGAGAAAGTAGAAATTTTGAAGACATAGGTGTAGGCAAGGAGTCTATGATCAAAAAAAACCCAGACCACATGAGAAATACTTCAAAGGAATAAGTGGGATGTCATCTAATTAAAAAGCCTTTGCATCACAAAAGAAAATCACCAACACAGTGAAAAGACAACACCCATGGAAGGGGAAAATTTTTATCTAGTTGTCCCTTGGACAAAGGACTTTATCTATAACATGTAAAGAATGGAAAACAATCAGACACCACAAATTCAAAGACCCAATCCAAAAATGGGCATCTAAGATGAATTCACACTTCTCAGATGAAGAAATACAAATGGCAAATAAATATATGAAAAAATATTCTACATCATCGGTCATTCAAGAAACGCAAATTAAAAAAACACTGAGATTCCATGACATTCCAGAAAGAATAGCCATCATCAAGAAATTAAACAATAACAAAGGATGGAGGGGTGTGGGGAAAAAAGAACTCTTCTCCACTGTTGGTTGGAGTGCAGGCTGGTGCAACCACTGTGGAAATCAGTATGGAGAGTCCTCAACAACCTGAACTGGATTCCAATAGCACAGCAACTAATAGTAAGAACCAACAAGTGAGATTACATCAAATTTAAAAAGTTTCTCAGCAGCAAAGGAAACAACTAACACAATGAAGACACAGTATATAGAATGGGAGAAAAATTTTACTAGCTCCTCTGAAAAGAGGAACAATATTTGAACAATCTAAAAACTCAAAAACATCAAGGGAAAAAATTCAAAAAACCAAATCAATAAACGGACAAATGTATTGAACAAATATCTCTCAGAAGAAAAAGAACAAATGGTCATTAAATTTATTTTTTTAAAAAGTACAACACCTTTAGCCATTAGGGAAATATACATTAAAACTACACTGAGATTCTATCTCACCCCAGTCAAAATGGACAATGACATTTAACTGGAAAGAAAACCCACAGACTGAATGTCACAGAAGAGAAAACAATGCTGTATGTGACAGGGAATCAGAAAAAAAGTAGGGGTAGCTACTGCAGAATGGATAAAATATGGCATTTTTTACCATGGAAAGCTACTCAGCCATAAAGATAACCTCAAGGCTCTTACATGTAAACACAACTTGAGATCATGCTCATCGGTGAACATCATGTGGTTTCCCTAGTATAAAAAACTAAAGGAGTTAGTGGGATCCAAAATGCACAATAGATATTGTGAAAGTGAAAGAGAGTATGTCTAAAAAGGGAAGGCAGTTACCACTGTTAATCTATTATCATGATTTAAAACTCTGAATTGTTTTCATTGTTCTGTTTAGTTTGGTTTTATTCTGCTTTGTTTTGGTTTTATTATATTTGATGGCATGGACAGCTATTTCAAGAACAACATGGTAGCCATTGTTGTTTTCCTGTTATCTTGCTTTGAAGCTCTGTATTGCTTTCATTGTTTTGTTTTGATTGGTTTTATTCAGTTCTGTTTTGTTTGGCTTTATTAAGCCTGATGGTATGGGCAGTTATTTTGAAGATAACCAGAGGCATTATGGATGCCATGATTGATTTCCTTTTATCTTGTTTTGACGTCCTATATTACGTTGTTTTCTTTTGATTGACTATTCTGTTTTATTTCACTTGGTTTTATTCTCTTCAAAATTAAAAAAAAGTGGCCAATGAGACTACAATCAATAAATGCTGTCATGGATGCAGGGGGAGGGTCCCACAATACTGATGAGAATGTAAATTAGTACAGCTATTATGGAAATCAATATGGAAGTTTCTCAAAAAATTAAAAATGGAACTACCATTTGATTTATCCCATTTTTTAGTATATACCCTAAGGAATTAAACTCAGCTGTACTAATTTTTAATGTCTAACGTAGTCTGCACTAAAAGTTTTAGCATATCATCAGTTTTGAACTTTGTTAGTAATACAAATTCCTGTATAATCACAAGGACTACCACATTTAAGTATTCATCTTTTTTGATACTCACCTAAAAGATTCTTAATACCAAGAAGGAAATGTGGCCAATAGGAACAAAGTTACAATTAAATAGGAAGGACTTCAAGTGCTCTATTGCACAGTAGGGTGACTATAGTTTTAATATGATGCATGATTTATAGCTAAAAGAGAGCATTTGAATGTTTTCACCACAGAGAAATGATAAATGTTTGCAGTGATGGAAATATTACCTGATGTAATTATTATACAATGTACACATGTATTGAAACATAACATTGAACCCCCTATCTATATCATTATATCAACTAAAAAGAAAAAGATTTCTATTGCCAAGAAGTTACCAATACTGACCAAATCCAAGCAAATCTCTCAAATATATGTATATGACATGAACTATATTGAATAAAGACACAGAAACACTGGAAGAGGGTCATCGTACCAACAAAATGTTTAAGAGAATTGACAAACTCAGTGTGTGACTCTGAGTAATTTTCAGAAGACTATCTCTGTGTCGTATCTATTAAAGAAGGAGTTAAAGTCTTTTCAAAGTCTAAGGCTATATTTAATGCCAGGGTAGAAAAAGAGATCTTGTTATAAAGACAATGTACTAGACATCCCCATATGGAGTAACAATGTCTTTTTAAAAGGAATTCACAGAAAATAAAGATTATAATAGAATGAAAATATTTTTTCACCAAATCCTCATTCTCTTAAAAAACTAGACAGCATTCTGAAAGGAAGTTTAAGGGAAAAAAATTTGTTAGGAAACAAACTCATGAATCTCACTGCCCCTAAGCTAAAAGTATAAATAGATCTTTAAAGAAAAAAAACTGCCTAAATCTGTTCAAATATTATGTGACTGAAGAGTTACTTCAGAACACATAAAACTTCAAAACTGACTTTCGAAGCAATTATGGTTTTCCTCATTTTCTTGCTGTCAATATGGGTAAGATGAAGTCAATTATTACTGTCAATCCTAGAGGAGGCTAAAGCAGAGAGACTAACACAGATTTAGGAACTGGATAATTCTGGCATTACAGTTCACACATCACCTAGCGCGAATTACTTATTCTCTTAGCCACAGTATTGTATCTTCATTAGTGATGAAGGTCTTAATGGCTCCCTCAGAGTCGCTGAAAATGCTAATGAGCTTATCACAGTATCTGGCACACAATAAATACTTAAGGGGGGGCGGTTTCGATGCTACAGTTCATCCAGACATGAAACGACCCTGAAGATAATATTATCACTTCCCCAAACGATGAACTGAAAAAGACAATCTTATTACCACTTCTAATAAACATAACAAAAATTCCTTGGAGGGTAGGTCGGCGGCCACAGATGGTCTTAACTTGTGTCAGCTCCGAAGACACACTGAAGCACACTTGAAGGACATTCCCCCCGCCCCAGGAAAGGGCCGGGAAGGCCTGGGTCGCCTCTCCCGACGCGGACTGCAGCAGAAACCGCCCAGACCCGGTCATCCCTACTCAAGAGCCCGTCCATCCGCTCGGCCCCCTCGGGAACCAGTGGGGCAGCTCCGGCGGGGCCACCTCACGGACTCTAGGCCACAACAGAGCAGCGCAGACACCGACCCGCTCGCCGCCCTGGCGCGGAGCGCTGCGGGCAAGCCGCCCGCGGCCCGGCTCAGTACCCGAGATGTGTCACCGGGAGCTAAGTGACCCCGAGCCGGTCCCCTCACCCTTCGCCCACAGGAGCCAAGGTCCCACCTCGCCCTTTCTCCTCCGACCCTCGGGGTGAGAGCAGGCCGAGCAGCAATACCTGGGCGGCAGCCCGCAGCGCCGTCCGGGGCCGGTGGCTTCTAAGGCTGGCCGAGGCCAACAAGCGGCCATAGAACACGGTGGCCGCCATTTCTAAGTCTGACCCCGTCCCTCGGCGCCTCGCGCAGGCGCACAAGTGGGACGCGGCCGGCAGCGTCGTGAAGTAGACAAGCACCCCGCCCCCTTCGGGGCGGGGCCTTCGGTTAACCCTGCCGCTGCCAAACTAGTGCTAAAGTGGGCTAGGTGAGCACAGAGCAAGCTTTTACCTTTGGACTTTAACCGCAGCATCAATGCTGGAATCACAGCAGGAAAGCAACATGAACACTTCCTAGCGAAGTGTGGTAAAAAGGAAACTAGCACTGCCATGTGCCCTTAACCTCTCTGAGTTTCAGTTGCCTCATCTGTAAAATGGGGTTCATTCAAGAAATGGTTTCTGGTGGGGCGTTGTGGCACTTAACAGTTATCTCAGGACTCAAGAAGCTGAGGCAGCCTGGGCTATATAGTAAGTTCACAGGCCAGCCTAACTACATACTGCGACCCTGTCTCAAAAAAGCCAAGAAGAAAACAAGAAAAAATAAATAAATGGTTCCAGGATGTCTGCATTGTGCCAAAAAACGTAAGTTGAGTTTTTAATTTTTAAACAGTAATTAAAAAAAATAGAGCCACTTCAGACACCTAGGAGGCTCGCCCACTAATTACCAAAACTGAGGGCAAACTGGAAGGGTCCCATTTGAAGGTTGAGGGGGCATCTGTGTTCTCAGAATTCTCTAAGTGAATCCGATACATGCACAACGTCGGAAACACATGCTGAAGGCTGGGGATGTGAATCAGTAGTAGACTGCTTGCCTAGTGTGCACAAGGTCCTGAATTCAATCCCCAATACCACCAGGGGGAAAAAATTGCCAAAAAGTGTGTGCCTGTACTTTGGGCCACTGCCTCAACTCTGCCCAGGTGGGCATCACTGAAGGCATTAGAAGTGATCTGGCACCTGTTTCTCAGGCTGCAGGAACTAATCTTGGAATAGCTGGGGGAGAGTATGAATTTAAAAACAGAAGCCATCGATTTAAGGAATGGAAAAGGCCTTGTCCCAGTCCCCAAATTCTCCATTCTTAAAACTTCATCATACAAGCAAGCCTAATGGAATTTTTTGTCTTCTCCCGCTGACAGAGGACTGACCAAAGGGCTCCTTTCATCATTAATAGGTATTTTGCACCGGCCTATAATCCTGCCATTCCAGAGATGTAGCAGGAAGATTGACACCAGCCTGAATGAAAAAAGAGACCCTGACTTAAGAAAAAAAAAAGGAAAGGTGGAAACATTGTTAATTCAGATGTCTCATGATAATCAGATGAATTCTGGATAATCTGGCTAGAAGCACTTCAAAGACCCTGTTAGGTTCTGGCTTTTATTAGAAGCACATACCCCATCAAATAAGAAAATTACCTACTTAGTTCCAACCCAGCTGTCTTTAAAGTGCTTAAGCCATCATGAGTATCCAACCATCTGACTCTGAGACCAGGCATTTTAAAGACAAATGAGTAAAAGCAGAATAAGGCTCTGTGCCTCTTGATTAAAAGAAGACAAGAAAGTAAAATAATGATGGGCCTCTTCCCTGATAACCTTGTTAAGTGATTCAGAAATCAGCTTTTAATATGGTAGTGAAGAGTACTATGTTAAGTGAAATAAAACAGATACAGAAAGACCAGCACTGTATGTTCCCAGTCAACTCTAATGTAGAATACACAGTTATTACTAGAGATTGAGTAGGGAGAAAGAAGAATGGGGGAAGTTGAATTGAATCAGCGCATGCTATATTCATGTAAGGACATGCCACATTGCACACCATTAATATGCACAATTAATGTGTTTTGATAAAAGTATTGATTGAAATTACCTTACCCAGAAGTTATCTTTTACATAGCAAAATCTCTGTAATCTTTACATACAAGAAACTAGCTATGAGTAAAACAGGATAACGTAAAATAATGAATAGAACAGACACTAAGGTTTTTGTTGTTTCTTGTTGCTTCATTTTGTTTGTTTTGGAGGGTAGAGCTGTTTAGGATGAAGAAAGGAAAAAGAATTATTTTCCAAGTGCAGTGGAATTCCTACCTTTGACCTTTCTGTATCTCCACTAGGAGTGAGTATGGAAGGTGGTGTGCAGGAAGAAAGGGAAAATAAGTCTGCTGAGGAGAAGACTGTAATTTCTTCCTAATCCTTTACTATTTGCATCCTTCACATATTAATATCCATAGCCAAAGCCTTAGCTGATGTGTCTCTTAGCTTCATATTTCACAGAAGTGAAAAGCGTTATGCAAACTACTCCAATATATCTGCTTACTCTAAATTCTGCTCAGGGTTGAGATAATAGCTATTAATTGAATACTTAGCTAAATTCTTACATACATTTTCTTAGTAGTCCTAATGAGGATCCTACATTTTACAGAATGGAAAATGGAGGCTTCAGAACAGCAGTTACCTTTCTCAATGTCACAACTTTTATTTTGGTTGTTCTCTTAATTCAAAGCTTTCGGATGAGATTTCGGGATCATACCTAAGATTTGTGCCCCTCTTTTCATTTTCTTAAAAAGTGTATCTTTCATTCCGTTTAATCAATAATATTTATCACCTAAAGAAAAAAATGATAAATCACACCAGCAGAGGACTGGTTTTAAATTGCAAACAAACGCACAGACCAGATACTGAACTTTGAATTTCAAAAGCCAAAGCCCAGAATAACTCAGGGAAAGTTTATGTAGCAAAAATAGAATTAGAATTACCTCACCACCAGAGAGAATAGGGACAGAAGAATGAGAATAAAAGCAACAAACTTAGTGATTGTTTCTTGAGAAGGATTTCTGTACTCTGTGCTCTCAAGAGGCACTGTCTCCAGGACAAAGGACAAGTCTATGTCTCAAGAGACTTGAAAATCCGGAGCACAGATCACTGGACGGACACTCAGGATCTCAAAATCTCCAAATCTCTTGAGGACAGGGAAGACTGTAAACCCACCAGGCTTGTCCTTGTAAATGAAGCTAATCAAATTCCAAGATTTGTACTTGCTCCAGCAGGGCTTCCATCTCACTTGAGAGCAGGGTAAGCCCGGCTTGGTGGCACATGCCTGTAATCCCAGCGCTCAGGAGGCTGAGGCCAGAGGATTGCGGTTCGTTTCAGATGAGTATGGGCTACATAGTAAACTCCGACATATAAAAACCACCTGGGAAGATTATAAAAAGTAACTTGGTCAGCATACGCAAAAAGTATAATTTTAATCATCTGTAGTGGACCTATGATAGTATTTTATAAAAGTTCCGCTAACACTTCTAATGAGCACCGTCCTGCTCTTTCTACTCTCGTCTCTGTCCCAGTGAAAAGGGGTGATCAGCAAGAGAGAAGAAGTGGCCACCATGGATGAGCACTGGATTTAAAGTCTGTAGATCTGGATTTCAGTTCCAGCTCTACTACATATCAGCTGTGCTCTTAAGCAAATCATTATCCTGAGCTTCTGGTTCCCCATTTATAAAAATTGGGTATGTGTTAATTTCCCACATGTTGTAGTCAGAGGTTGTGAAGAGAACACTTAGAATCAGGACACAGAGTTTATAATATTATTTTATGATGGTCACCCAGATTTAACACAAGAAACTGCAGGAAATCTGTCCACAACACTAAAGACCCAGAATATTCAGCCAAAGGCCTATCTCCCACAGCAATGTCCTACATGAGTCCAGATGAAAACCTAGAGCCCATGATAGCGCATCCCACAAGTTCAGCTGGAGGTCCAGAGCCCACAAGAAGGACTCATGCCTGTCTTTACAGATCCGTGCTGGGAAGGCCCAAAGGTCAGTGGTGGAAGCCAGAAAGTCTATGCCAGCAGGGTGAAGGAGTTGTGCTGGTAAGTTGAGGGTTCTATGCTGGAGCAAAGAGATTATGCTCAAAACAAAGACCAGGGCTGCCCTGAAAAGCACCACAGCCATCCTCAAGAGACACGGAAGTGCCGAGCTCCACTGATGATAAGAACAGTCGAGTACATGCCAGAGAGACAGCATGATGAGTTCATCCTGGAGATTAAACAGCACAGGTCTTCCCCTCTGGAGCCAGGAAGCGATGCTCGATGTAAGGATCAGAGCTCCCCCAAAGTGATCCACAGCCACCCTCACAAACAGGTCCCGAGCTCCTCCTTTGACAATGGTCAAACTCACACTGGAGAAGCTAGTCATGATGAGCTCCTCCATGAGAACCAACGGCTCAAACAGCAACACTTAGAGAAACTCACAACGCCTCACTCCTCCACATCTCCATTTATGCTGGTAACTTCCCTCAGGTGGAATATTTACGCTCATCACCATACTGATTTAATTCAGCTGGCATTAAGTTGACCACCAGCTTTTAATCCATAACACCACAGCTATCATAACAAACTGCTGCAAACATAGTAACTTAAAAAAGAGAAACTTACTCTCTGGAGTTATGATAGATAGCCAATATAGGTACAAATATTATAAGCAGTCAGACATCATGAGGCTCTCAAAGGAATCAGTACAGAGAGTGAAAACACGTTATAATTATGGCCAGAGGTGCATCTATTGGAGCCAGGCCTCAAAGACAAAATGACTAGGCCTACAATACTTCCTGAGAGATAAATAATACATTAACATCTGTCACCGACTTGAGTGGCCGAAACCCCTGATGCATCTCTTTTTAAGATGGGTTCTTTCCAGGTACACTTGCTGTATGGCTGCTCCCCACACTGGATGAATATTACCTAAATCGCTAAACTTGTCATCTTATTAGTTGATCACAGTTTTGTCCTGCATCATACTCACTTTGTGATTTTACATTTGCCTTGTGATTTTGCAGCCATTTTGTGATTTTGTTCTATAAAACTTCTTTTGTAAAGTGGTGTCCATGGAAACCCATTTTCCAATCCCTTCCTATCTCTCTACAAGCTGAGAAAATTCCTTAGAATTTATTCTTTGATTCTGGGAAACACGAACTCGGTATATCAGACATCACACAGCAGGTTTGGAGTTACATTTATTTTCCTAGTTCATTTGGAGGACTCAGTGAGGTAATTGGAAGACAGCAAGAATTTGCTTTTGTTTCTTGGATTTTGGATTGTGACTCATTTAGGTAATCAGAAATTGTCACTTATTTGTCAATTGCTTTGAATTTTTATGCATTGCTTTTGTTAAAATGATGATAAACCTAATTTGAGAACATGGGAAGATTATTATGTTTCTTAGTTCGGACATTTTATTTCTGCAAACAAGATATTCCAGTTTTGCCACATTGCCCATATGCTGTGTTTGGACTCACTAGTTGCTGAATTTTCTGGTGTTCCTAGATTCCACTGTTTGCCTTGTTAAACAACATTGCTAGGAAATGTAACGTTAAAGCATCTCCTACTGGACTCTGATACTAATTAGAATGTGCATTTTATGAAATCTAGCTTATATTTTATGAAATCTAGCTTATACATGTAAATATGCATGCCTATTAATAAATCACAGAACTCCATCTGCCAGTAGAAGGCATAGGCCAGCAGCCATTCTAAAGACTTGGAGGATGGTATCTCGCTAGGATAGTCTGGCTTTACCCCACTTTAGAGCAGATGCCAAACCTGTTCTGCTGGTTTCCTTTCTGGTCTGATCTTCACTGGTGACCAGACAATCTTAGTTCCTGAGAGTCCCCATTCTTGCCTTTTCAGGATGACTCGTGGGCAGTTTTTCTCAATAACACCATGAACATGATAACAAAGGGCTTTCTTTTTCTGAAAGGACTTTCTTTCGCCTTTCTGATATTTTCCTGTCACTTCATACTTTCCTCATTTGGAGGCATATTTCTGCTAAAGATGAGAGAGGAAGAAACCCTAAACTATCTGAAAGTTCCCCTTCCATCCAACAGCTAGGACCTTTTAAGTTGAGCCCATGGAGAATGACCATTTGCTAGTGCCAAAGACAGGAAAATACTTTTGCTAATGTATAAATTGTGTTTGCAGGATGATGAGTACAGCTTTTAACCTGTGAGCTTCAGGGCAGACATAGATACATAGAAATTTTAAAATGCATTTTGAGTAACATTTAGCCTTGTTTTGTTGCTAAGGAAGGTTGCCTGAGTGATTACACAGACACAAAAGTCCAGGAAACTTCTTTGCTCTAGGACCCAAAGTAGGATTTTTCTGAGTCGTTACTTGCCTCTGTCTATCTCCAGAGTGATCTCTTACAGACTGGGAGGTGCTCCACCCACTTCCAATCTGCCCTTTGCTATTTTTCCCCTTCTATTTCAAAGAATTGAAAATCAGTTTTTCATGTCTCTTGATTATTGGTTGAATTTTGCTAGCAATGTCTTCTTCTTTAAACATGACTGTTACAGCTGGAATCAATTATAGTATATGCTTTTAAAAACATATGCCAGAAAGTAGGGGGACACATCAGTAAGGTTGGCTAAGCTGGCCCCATCTATCTTCTGGTCACTGTCCTGATAGCAGCCATCTGCCCTGGAGAAGGTCACCTCAGATGACACCTTGAGAGAATATAGAAATAACACAGAAATTAAAAGAGATACCGATCTTTCCTCTTGTGTTACAGATCGGAATTCAGTGTTGAATTCTCTTACTCCTTTGGGATGTATTTTAAGCACTAGAAATTATTTGACCCTGGTGTTTTGAGAAGGGGTTGCTAAATATTTTTCTGCACCATCAGGTGGCCAGCCCATCCCACAGGGGCAGAGCGGAATGCAGAAGGAAATATTGACTATGGTGCTATTTCACAACTAGAACCGTACTGAGAGGAAAAATGGTCAGAAATACCTTATGCTCAGATGTTCTTTGCATTAAGAGATAATCCTTGTGTTCAAAATGTAAATGTAAGCCACAGGAAAATCAGACACTTCAGGGCCTTACGGTGCAATCAGATGCATCTACTATTACTGAGCCTACAAACAAGGTTTCCAAAGCAACCTCAATCAAAGCTGCGTCCTGTTACCAAGCCTGAGCCCAACCCCCACCACTTGCCCTTCAGACCCTAAAAGGTGAGTCTAAGCCAACTATAACTGCAGCTTCTGCTGGAATATATCCAACTTTAGCTGATTTTCTTCAAGGACAACATCCATTACAGGAAGTAAATGACAAGTATGGCACTACCTGTGTCCATGTGTCCTTTTCTTTCAATGATCCCAAACTAGATCTAGGAAACTTTTAAGATAACCCTGACTAATACATTGAGGTCTTTACAGGACTTACTAAAACCTATGAACTGTTGTACTCTAAGAAAGTAGCTTCATCATTTTGTGTATTATAGCAAACCTGCAACGTGGCTTACTAAATGTGTTTTTTTTTTATCCTTTTTTCCTAACTGATATGTTAAGTGACCTAATTGATATGTTGAGCAATACTCTCCTCTGTAAAGAATTGCAAGAATTTCACTTAATTGATATGTTAACCAGAGCGGCCCTCTACAAACAAGAAGAGTGATGCTAAAACAAGCTAACAAGGGTTGTTAATCACGGTTAGGCGCCTCTATTCTTTGCTAAAGAGCTAAAGAAGACTAGGATGGCCCACTAATTTGCACTTGTTTGAAGTAACTTGTTTATATGCAGGGAGATTTGCGTATGAGTTTAACCTTTTTACCTAACCTTGGTTCCCTTTCCCACAAGATAGATACCCGCCGTTTTCCTGTTCTGTAGCGCACCTTATTGCCTCCCCCTACCCACCTATCTGGGCCATAAAGAATTTGCGTTTCTGGTGACCTCTTCCCAACCCGGTGATGATCTGTCATAAAATGAGCCTGCCCCAATTTTAAGAACTGCTTAGCTTAAAAGAAATTACCGAGTAATACTATGGCCCAAACCCCGATGGGTGCTTTCCTTTTGTTCTGTATGTATCAAATGAGTTAGATATCAGATCTTTATAAAACTTAAGTTTCAGCGTCTTGTAACTCGTGACCCCTTCGCACTCACTAGCAAAGACGAGCTGTCCTGGGATAATTAACTCTCCACTTTCTTCTCCAAATATTGCTGCAGACGTGCCACTCTGAGATAATGTCAGTCTGCAGGATGGGAGTAATTTGAGGAAAGGAACACCAGGAACTCCCGAGATTGTCAGAGCTAAGTGGACAGCAATACAGTTTCCAGATGCAGGTCAATAGGTTTAATGGCCTTGCAGGATCCCCCCACAACTTTCCCTTACTTTTAAAAACCCCTTTTCCCAGTCTTGGGGTGCGCAGTCTTTGGCTTGATCCGGGAGAGACTGTGCCGCCAGGACTGGCTCAAAAAAGCCTTTGCTACCTAAATTTTCGGACTCTTGTTTCCTCGAGTTTTATACTGGGGCCCGAGTTATAACATGAACTAGTCTGGAAAGATGCAATGTTACTCTTAAATCAACCATTGACTTTTAAGGAGAGACAAGCAGCAGTACACGCTACAATTACATTTGACGATAAATATATTGCCAATTTTAGGAAGACCAAAAGACAGGCAGCCAGGGGGTGAGCTAGTTTTCACTGGAGCCCAAGCAGTGGCTGCAGAAGATCCCAACCACATGGGAGATTGAAATAGAAGTCATCTTTAGACACATATTCTTCTTTTTTCATTTTTTTATTTTAAAAAGCAAAACAGAAAAAAAAAGGATAGAAATGATAAGAATTTCAAAAAAAAGTAGATAATTAACACTAGTTAATGTATTGTACATTGTTAACTCAGCACTAGTTCAGGCCACAAAATCGAAATACAAAAGTGACCAATCAAAGACAACACAAAGTGTTCCTTTTGATTAACTAAGAGAGACTAGGAGAATAGCTATCTCTCTAGCATACACATACATACATACATACATTTATATATGTTCACCCACACACATATAATCTTTTCCTTTCTTCCTTTTTTCCTTTCTCCTATCCCAGTAGTTCTGTCCTTCTGAGCACTTTCTTTCTGTTTCATTATTACAATATCTATTGTATATTTTGGATCTTATTACTCTTTCAGGTTTTTATTTTTTTATTTTTTATATCAGAGGGACAATGTGATATTTATAAATGTGAGTTTGATTTATTTCATGTATGAGTATGGTCTCAAGTTGCTTCCATTTACCTATAAAAGCCTCAAGATTATCCTTTTTATAGCTGAATAACATTCCATTGTATAAAAATACCACATCTTTTTAACCACTCTGCAGTTAATGGGCATTTTCGTTGTTTATGAGATTTCTCCATTACAAATTGTGCTGCTATAAACATGGGTACACATATATCACTGTGGCATGGCATTTTCATTTTTCTGGGAAAATACCAGAAGGGGAATAGTTGGATTAAATGGGACTTCCAACACTAGTTTTTGGAGGCATCTCCACACTGATTTCCACAGTGGTTGCACCAGTCCACTCTCCCACCTGCAGTGGAAAAGCCTTCCTTTTCCCCACAGGCCCGCCAACATTTGGTATCAGTTAATTTCATAATGGCTGCTCTTCTTTCTGGAGTGAGATGGAACTCCAATGTTGTTTTTATTTGCATTTCTTGAATGACCAGGGTGTTGAGCAAGTCTTCATGTATTTATATGTATTTCTTCGCCTGAGAAATGTGTATTTATTTCAGATGCCCATTTTTTGATTGGATCTTTCAATTTGGGGGGCCTGATGTTTTCCAGTTATTTATACGTTCTAGATATAAGTCATTTGTCTGAGGGACAGCTGAATAAAATTTTTTCCCATTCTCAGGTGATTTCTTAAATACAAAAACTTTTTAATAAGATGAGATCCCAGTTTTTGATTCTGTAAAGTACTTTCCATGTGGTTTGCATTTTGTTCATGGACTCTTTGCCTACCCCTATGTCTTCAAGATTTCTACCTACTTTGTTTTCCAGTTGATTTAGTGTTTCTGTTTTATTATTTAGATCTTTGATCCATCTGGATTTTAGTGCATGGTGATAAACATGGGTCTAGTTTCAGTCCTCAGCATATGAAAAGCCAATTTTTCCAACACCATTTATTAAATAGGTTATCTTTGGTCTGGTGAATATGTTTAGCCCCTTTGTCAAAGATAAGGTGGCTAAGTTAGATATGTATTCTTGAAGGTCTAAAAAAGACAAGAACTGAGTTCATCAATTTTTTTTAAATTGTCAACTATTCATTGGGAGAAAAATGAACACCTCTGCATTCTTAGGACATTTACAAGAATAGATAGATGAAACATGGCTCCTGTTCAATAGAAGGGCAGATTATTATTAAAGACAAGTTTATTACCAGTCAGCCTGAGTTACTAGAAAAAGCCACAAAAGATGGCTTTACTGCAGATAGCTCCCTTGATACTGTCGTGAGAACTGCCGCCTCAGTATTTTATCACTGAGACCAGGAATAACCAGGAGAAAACAAAGAGACCAAGAGAAAGTGACTACCTTGGTTAGAACCTCAGGGTGATTCTCAGGTCCCCAAGAAGAACTCGATGACTAAATCCACCTGCCACCAGTGTGGAAAGCCAGGTCACCTTAAGAGGGACTGTGATTAAAAACCATCACTAGAAGAGGCTGTAGTGCCAATCCACCCCGTGGTACCCAACCCACACACTCTCTTTTCTCAGATCCTAGAAAATGCCCATTGGTTTCAGTGTTACATTTAAAAGATGTCTTCTTTTGTATTACTTTACATACAGATTCCCAGCTTCTATTTGTGTTTGAAAATCCTCACGACCAGGCCCGTCAGCTGACTTGGATTATGTTTCCTCAAGGGTTCAGAGACAGCCTCATCTTTTTGGACAAGTGCTTTCCCATGATTTGGCATGTTTTAGGTTTTCCCAAGTCACAGTCCAGCAATAGGTAGATGATACGCTGTTACATGCCCCCTCAGAAGAGCTCGCTAGTCAAGGCCCTTAAGCTTTGCTAAATTTTCTAGCAGACAGAGATCATAAAGTCTCTGGGTCTGATGCACAAATCTGCACCTTGAGGTAAAATATTTGAGAAAGAGATCCACTGGCTGTCAGATAATTTTTTTTCACATGGCTGCATGGGCAACTAATGCTAGGAAAGCATACTTTGAATCAGTATAAATATTAATGAATAGACACATCTCAAAAGAAGAAATACAAATGGCCAATAACCACATGAAAATATGTTCAACATGTTTGGCCATTAGACAGATGCGAATTAAAACAACACTGAGATTTCATCTGCCTCCCCAAAGAATGGCTACCATTAAGAAACAACAATAACAAATGCCAATGAGACAGCAGGGGAAAAGGAGCCCTTCTACATTTTGGGGGGAATATGAACTAGTACAAACCTATGTAAATCAATACAGAGATTTCCCAAAAAGTAAAAATAGAAATTCTGTTTGACCCAATGATTCCTTATCCATGAATCTTCCCAAAAGTGTTGAGGGCATCATATTATAATGTCAATGCATACCCATATTTACAGCAGCAGAAATGATAACATCTAAATCTTGGAAGTGCCCTATATGTTCATCAACACATGGATGAATAAAAAAAAAATGTGGCATTCGTACACAGGGGAGTACTCCTTTGTCATAAAAAGGGATAAATCTGACTCATTTGTAAGAAAAACGGATGTATCATGAGATGATAATTTTAAATGAAATCAGACAGAGAAGCTTAAATATTGTATGGCTTCTCTTGTATGAGAAACTCAAAGTATAAATGAATTAAAGAACTAAATAAAAGATAACAGAAAACAGGAGATAGATCTTTTGTGATAGGGAAGTGAACTAAGAGCAGGAGGGGAAAGGGCAGGGATGAAAAATATTAAGCTGTGTTGTGTTTGTGCACCAACTCCCCACGAGGCATGTAATCAGCATGTACTGCAAACACGAACTCAGAAAAATAAATTTTAAATACTGAGCAGAATGAAACAAAAATAAATTTCAAAATATTAAAATGAATTTATACCATGCAGAGTTATGTTCTCTAATAGTAACACAGTGACCAAGCAGGTTTCTTCAAAAGATGCAACTTTGTTTGAAACATGTAACCCATCATATTAACAAGATAAAGGAAGATATACAAGGAATGGTCAAAATAGAGAGTGTAGAAATTAAAGAATTTATTACTCTAAAAGTCACTTCGCCTTTAATCCCTGCCAACACATTCCTCTCAGCTTTGAACACACTTTCCCCACCATCCTTGCCACTTTCTGAAACAGTTCTAGAAGTCCTGTCTCACGAGTGTCTTTACAAGGTTTGATAAAAATATGGTGAGTCTGCTCCCAAGTGTCATCCAACGCAAGCTTGTAAAAACTTGTCATCTGCAGTTATTGTCATCCACATTTGCTCACCAACTGTGGCACTGTGCAACTTCTTGCTTTTCCACAGTCAAAATTATGGTGAAAGGTAACTGTTTGAATCCATCCAAGACACAGAGACAACCATGACAGCACAACCAAAGTCATTTATGAAACACTTCCTGAATAGGGGGCTACACGTGATTGAAGCAAGGAGGGGTAATTTGAGAAGCAGTAATGGTACTATGTCTTTTACTATAACACAATTTAAAAAATTGAAACATATAACCATTTGTTTCAATCACAGCTTGTATACTATGGTGATATACTGGAAGACTCACTATAGTAAAAATATTAAATCTTTCCAAATTGGTTTAACATAGTTCTTACCATAATCCAATCAAGATATTTTTAGACCCGTAGGGAAACATTTTCTAAAGTGCATATGGAAAGTAGTGGCCAAGAAACAAGAATAGACAGCTAAAGCAATTTAAAGAAAGGATCAAGTGGGAGTAAACAATCTACCTGACGCTTAACACTGCTTATATAACTGTAATAATCAAGACTATTTAAGATACATACATATATGGATGGAACTCAATAAAAATAAAGCAAACTGATTTTTTCGATAAAGGGGCAAAAACTATTCAACACGGAAAAGATGGTGTTTTAAACAAATGGTGCCAAAGTACTTGAACTTTCATCAGTGCCTCTAGTATTATACAAAAACCTCAAAGTACAGCTGGGCATGGTGGCACATGCCTGGGATCCCAGCACTGGGGAGGCTGAGACAGGAGAATAGCTGTAAGTTCAAGGCCAGTCTGGGCTACACCGTGAGTTCAAGGTCAGACTGAACTGCATAGCAAGATCTTGTTTAAAAAAAAAAAAACTCTAAGTGGATCACATACTTAAAAGTGAAACATAAAACTATACACTTTTAGAGAAAATGTTCAGGACCTAGGACTAGGCAAACAGCTCAATTTTTATAAATGGACAAAATTATGTTTCCACTGGAATGTAGGATATCAAAATTGTGCTTTAATCTCAATTTTAAGTAAATTTTAAATTCTTTAACTTCTTCCTGTTTTAGGAAAATTTATCTAAAGTCTTCATAAGACAATTTCTAATAGTTTTATGACTTAATCTTATTAAGGCTGAGGATGGCTTCTCTTTGGCTATAGGGCATAGTGATCAGCTACTCTAATCTCTAACCTGTTAGCACATTAAATGAAGGGTATAGAAGATAAGGAAAATGCTCCAGCACACTATCTTCTATGAATAGTAACAGTGCTTTCTGGCTTGGGTCCTGGTAAGCATTAAGAACTCCAAATAAGGAAAGGTTATAATTGTTATAAGTAGACTAGAAATGCCAAACAGCTAAGCCAGTGGTTCTCAGACATTTTGATCTTAGGATCCTTTTACACCTCTTAAATTCATTGAAGACTCCAAAGGTCATATTACAAAGAACTATAATAAAAGCTAGCTAAATCCTCATTTGTTTTGTATGCAGTCTGTTGCAATATGTGTTTTAAAGTATATGAAAATAGTTGAAAGAGAATAGTCTCTCACATAATTATAGATATTTGTCTTTGTTAAGTAGTAATTAAATAAAAATTGGATGCATTGTAGAATCTGAAACTGATAACAAATGCTATAAGCACTTCCAAATATGATATAAGGGAAATACTGTAACGCTCAACCTCCTAGATGTCCAATATGCTGAGTGCGTGGTCCCCAAAATAGAAAGAATGAATTCTAAGTAACAACAGAGGTCAAGAGTAAGAAACATTATTGAGGGGGAGACATACAGCTCCTGAGAGGTAAGAGGATCCCATTCCTCAGGGAAAACTTACCATGTGGGTACAACATAGGTTACAGCTATGATCAACCAATAAGATTGTAAGTATACTCACTTATATAGTATTGACCCAGTAAGGAAGCAAATCATGTAGCAAGTGTATGTGGAAAGAACAAAGAAGTTTGGGGAAGCGATGACTCCAAAGGTCACTGCAGTGACTGCTGTCTATCCAGACTTCATTAGACCAGGTGCTGCCACTTAGGCCTAGTCATTCTGTCTTTATCTTGAGGCTCGTCCTCCAACAAATGTCTTTCCAGCCACAGTTGTAATGAGTTTTAATCTACCCTACTCCCTCCAAGGGCCCAGCCCTATCTGACTGTCTATAATATTTCTACCTAATTCAACTGTCCCTAATAAAATCAGATCAATGAACTTTTCATCATCAATTATTCTGAAAATCACTGGTCTATCATGGATATTGAATAGATACTCACCCATGAATGATTTTGTGCCCATGTGTATTGATCCTTTGGGAAAAAGTATTGGGCTCACTAAGCTATATATATCTTCCAAATGAAACACATTTCATTGTGAGATTTTTTAATGATGATTTGAAAGAATGGCCACTTGTCTCATCAGAAAAGTCTTTAAATGTTGGGAAGCTGTCAAGCTCAGGGTGACAGATATTTTCATAAATTCTAATTTTCACTTAAAGGCTTGATATATATCATTTTGGTACAGATAATGTCAGTCCTTTTCCTTGATATAGCAGGCTTACCTTATTACTTTTTTGAGATAATGTTTATCACACAGATACTTTGGGAAACCACTTTGTCTTCCATGAGAAAAGCAGACAGTTCAGCTCACAACTCAGTAACACAATCACTTTTCCATAAGACAACTATCATTATTCAACTGCAGGAGAAGTGTTTTATGAATACTGTACTTTCAACTTCATCACACGTAATATTAAAAAGACATGTTCTCCCTGGTTATTTTAATGAAATTATTTTTTATTGTCTCATTGAGGACAGTAGGAAGGAGCATGCTTTTTTATACTGAATGTGCATCGCAGAGAAAATTCAGTAACTGTTCTTCTGGTTTGGTGTGATACTCCTGATTCTTACTGAATGCTAACAATTTTACTACCACTGCTTTTAATCATCAGTGCAAATATAAATATGGAGTAAAACCAAAACAAAATATAAAGTATCGCTGTACTATTATGAAAATAGTTTTGGCATTGTGGATCCCTTACCAGTCTCATGATTCCCAAGTATTTGAGGATCACACTTTGAAAATCACTAGGTCACACTGTAGAAAGAAATAAATTAGTCAAACTATAAGTAAGCATTGATAACAACCAAACAAATTTGTTTCTAAGTTGCAAATTACCAAATAATTTCTCATAAGTTATCTAATTTCATTCTCAGTTTTGAGATGTTAGGTCTATGCTTCCTCTCTGAGTCCTCATATTTTTTCTCCCTAATATTATTTGTATTCTGTCATTTGATGATCTGCAACTTGTACTCTTAACTTGTACAAATTTAACAGCTTAGCATACGAGACAGGATCAGTGATTTCAAAACCTGGATCATGAATGGTATTGAAGGGTTAGGAAACTGTCTCCAGAGGGGAAAAAGTATACAACAGAAATTGCCACCATAAACATGGTAAATAGTAAGCAGAAGACAGTTCAGTGCTGTTTTATAGAAATCACGATGCCCCGGGACACTGGTATACACACTGCAGTGAGCACACAGCCCTTCGGTCAGCACATGAGCCAAGTGTGTGAGTTGCTTTTGCTACACTAAAACCTCCGTATTTAAGTTTAATGGCAGTTTGGCACTTTGCAATAAATAAGTGAATTTTGGGTTGCAGTTTGGGCATTTGGTCTCTAAAAGGTTCGCCGTCACGGCCTTACAAGTTCACAAGCAACTACTGGCACGTCACCTGTGTCCCTAGAAGACCCCAGGCACCAAAGCTACCCACCAACTTACACATTGCACACTGGCACAGCTACATAAAAAAAGAAATAAATGTCTCTGTCCTTTAAGCCACTTCTATATTTTGTTACAACTTAATCTTAACCTGATTAATACACCTCTGTTCCTTGAAGATTTCAACTCCACTTTACACCTATTCCTCCCCTCGGTACAACCCAGTCATAATTCTTTATGACTGTAATAAACAAGAAGAGCCTTCTATCTCCCCTGCGTTGATTTTGATTAAAATTACTTGGATTGCTACACTGCTAAATCAAATGATCACTTCACTGGTCCCAGTTTGCTGGCCTTTGGCAGTATTTGACACAGTTCATCACTCATTTAAATACTTTCTGTCTTTGGTTTCTGGAAAACGATCCTCCTTTAGTTTTTTTTCCACATTCTTGGTATCTTATTTTCTTTGTTGGTTTTCAAATTATTTCATTTTCTAAATCCACTCATGCCCATCGTGAGCTCGTTAATCTCCTGGTTTTAAATATCATCAATACACTCATGATACTCACATTTATAGCTCCAATTCAAACCCTTCTTTCTTCAGAACTCTAAACTCAGTTATTCAGCAGCTGCTCACCACCCAGCAAGCATCACCTCTACGTGTCTAAGCATGAACTAAGCAGTTCAAGCTTACCATGTCAAGACTTACCCCCAATTTTCCTTCCCAAATATGCTCCTTTTGAAAATAAACATTACTTAAATGTTTCCAGTCAACCCACTTAAAAGTGGGCTGATTTGTATTTCTCTTAGCTGATTCATAAACATCAACTCAGTGTCTTTTTGCCTTCCTAACGTCCTGTGTTTAATGTGATATATTTGTATCTCATAAGGTTTACCTATATCATAAGGCTTACAGGGAAACTCATTTTCTAGTTTGGGTACACACACTGAAACTATTTTGTTACACTGTTAGGTTTCACTGAAGCCTTCATTTATAAAGCACTCAGGATTATTTGCAGTTCTGGTTACAAAGGATGCTGGTTACAAAGGTTACAAAGACCTCTTCACTGACCTCAAAACCTCGCTGGGCTGATGGTATTTTTTAATTGTTCCTTTGTGTGAAGGTAAATCCGCAACCAACTCTTCAAAGCACAGTCAAAACCAGATGTAGCTAGACTTTGCTGCAGGTTTTGGGATAATAAAATGGAATTAGAGTGCAATAAAGGGAAATTGAAAATACTAAATTTGACTTCTCTTTAATATCACACGCTGTCTTCACCTCTCACATTTTCTTTTCCCTTAGTTTCTTACTATATTTTAGGAACAGTATAAAACCTCATTGAATTTTAGTAGGATTGATTGTGGCTGTGTCTATCACCAGGTCTGAAGTACTGCAGAGTCCAGTGAGAAGAGAAAAAAACACAACAAAACAAAACAAAAAAGTTGCCTCCCCATTACCCTGGCCTAATGCTAGCCTCCTCAGAAATATAATCTTCAAAGACAGCCACATTGATGTCAACTTTTTATATTAAGTAGAGCGATAAAATTGTGCTATACCTTGGTGCTTTTCAGTGCTGAACTGTATCCTGACTTTTCCTTACTGCAAATACATACAGCATTTTTCTATTGTGACTCTTTAAAGTTGTCATCTATATTAACATTTGCCCTCTAAAATATACAGCTGTATGAGTTACACATAGTCTCTACCACCATAATCAACATACAGAACCACTCACTCATCCAAGAAAGTATCTGCGTCTTTTTGTAGTCAACCATTCTCTGTACCTCGAGTCCCAGACAAACACTGATCTGCATTCTGTGTTGAGTTTGGTCCTCTCCAGAATGTCATCTGAATGGAATCATTCAGCATGCAGCCTTCTACATCTCACTGTTATACTAAGATGCTGAAAAATTAAAATAGTTAATTAAAAGATAGTTATTAGCAACACAGTTAAAAGGATAGTTATTAGCAGTATTATCATTCTGTGCTGAGCTTGTCACCCTAGTAACAAGGCTCCAACCACACAGTTATGGATTAACTGACTGTGGCCTCATGCTGTTCTGTATGCATCACCCCCCGCCAATAACCTGTTTGCTGTGTCAACCTTTGTTATCTTTGTAAGAGACAAATGATGCTATGTGAACCACTGTTCCCTATATGAGACACAAATGTTCCTGGAATTGGCGGATCAAGGGCTATGAATTGGCGGATCAAGGGCTATGAATTGGCTAACCATCCCGTGAAATGCCTCTGACCTCAAGCAAAGGGGAACAAAGGCCCACCTTGTTTCTGTTTCTCATCACTATGTACTTAATGATCAATGAGCTAATCATAAATGAACTATAAATATCACTCAAAATTCTAACTCAGTTGCACAGCTTTGCAAATTCCATGTGCACTGTGTCACTGGACAAGCTAAAATAAAAGCGCTTCTTTAAAAAAAAAAAACAACGTCGTCTTGCCCCGTTTTTCATCATGGGGCCTTGTTTTCTGGGGGGTTACAACATTCACTTCTTTCACATCGCATCCATTTTGAAGTCACCTAATTGTTGTAGTAAATTTTTCGTGGATTTCTTAGAATATAAAATAAACATATACTTAGGAACATGTATGCAAATATCAAAACTAAGGTCACAGAGATAAAGCTCTATCTGGAACAATGGCTGGAGGGTAGAATTTTTATTGCAGTGTTTAATCATTTGGATTATGTACATTACTTTAGAAGAAATAAAAATGTTTTTAATCATTAAGTCTTGCCCTCCAAGATTGTTCATTTGCTTGATCTCATTCATTTTAGTTACAGTTCTTTGATTCAGCTGGCATTTCCCCCTTCACGTTTCATTTTTATTTGGGTTATAGTGTGTATATTTGCAGTAGTATGTTTTATCCTCAAATACATAACTTGTGCTAGCAGTTTACTGATCAGTTATTTACCCTTCAAAGTTGTGAGTGCGCTTCGATCACAGCCACTTACACTAACTGCTTCTACAATCTGCCTTGCGCTGATAAAACAGATTTGAGCCACAGTGAAAACGTGTTCACTGGGGTGTGGAAGAGCATTACCAAGAAAAACGTGCGATAGTAGAGACGCAGAAAAGCAAGCGATTGGTGCACGGTCTGGACGGATACCCAAGCGGGCAGCTGAGTGCTGAAGGTGCACAGCAAGGGCAAAGGGTTAAAACGCAATTCTGTCCTTCCGGACACCCCCGCACTGGCTCCTGGCTGGGCAAGGTGAGCACCGGTTGGCCAGGGAGCCGCAGTAGAGAACACAACCTACGTCACTTCCGGCCGCGGCTGGAGCCACTCGCGCTATGACCGCCAGCGCCGCGCCCCCGGTGAGTCGGCCCGGGGTCGGGGTCGGCGTGGTGGTGACCAGCAGCGAGCATCCCCGCTGCGTCCTGCTGGGGAAGAGGAAGGGGTCGTTTGGAGCCGGCAGCTTCCAGCTTCCCGGAGGTCACCTGGAGTTCGGGTGAGCATCTCCACAGCAGCTGAGGGACGGAACGTGCCGGGCACGAGCCCGCGCTGTGCGTGCGCGCGCCCGCTTCCGGGCTCCTCTGCGCAGGCGCCGGCCGGCGGGGGCGCTGTGCAGATCCCGAGGACTGCGCGGGCGGGCTCTGTTCTTTCTGGGCGGTGCCTGGGAGTTGCTTTGTGTTTTTAGTGCTTACCTGCCAGAGGAGAAAGAAGGGTGTTTCTACACCAACAGCAATCCCGCGTTGTCATCCATTCATCCGTCCACCCCTCCCCCTCTGCCTCGTCTGCTGGCCGCGTTGCGCTTTCACCAAGCAGATGAGCTGGGCGAACTGTGCCGCAGTGTCTGCATCTTTAAAATGGGAACGTTGGACGAGTATCCAAGTTTCCTTTGTGCCTAGGCGCTCTGGGATGGGGGAATAGCAGGAGCACGAAGAGTTGGCCAGTTCACAAGAGGCAGAAAGCCTGAGATTTTGCTGGAAGTGGATTCTGAAGTGGAGTAAGGTTAAAATTAATAACAGTAAAAGCATAAAGCATCGCCTGCAGCTGTGCTTTCTCCTTTAGTACTGAACCTAAAAATCTCAAAGCTACATGAAAACGGAGAAAATAGCAAATCCTCACCGCCCCTCAGCTGCCTTTTCATTGCTGTCCCTCACTCACCCAGAAGAGACACACACATGAACACACACTGGCTTTCTATGCCGTTTCACAGGAAATTTCAAACGTCCTATTACACTATACGTACACACATTTTAAAACAGTACCGTTTTCCTGTGCAACAGTTCGGTAGTCCTGCCTGATAGTCTGTGCTGTCCTGCCACATGGTCTTGGAAGGGCCCTTTCACTGTTCTCTATACTGGAGATCACACGTACAGCACACTGCCACTCAGTGTAACAGTGCTCATTCATCCCGTTGTTTTTCTCATGCCATTTATCTCTTGAAAAATGTGAGTTACTTATGCAGAATTTATCCCTTCATTACTATGTTCCAGTCCCCCTGTATTTCTTTTTTTATCCTGCTATTTTTTAATTTATTTTTCCCTTAATTAAAAGGATAAAAGTAAAAAAGTGAATAATAAAATGGAGATTGAGATTAAAGAGGGCATAACAACAAAACAGTGCAGATCAAAACATAACCATTTAAGCAAATTAGTGTTTCACCACAAGGTAATCCCAACATAAAAGTACTTACCATATTGTCTCTTTCCTTGAAATCTTTGAGTATAACTTCATATACTGTAGTATCAAATGTATCAAAACAATGTAAAACCATTCAAGAGAAAACAGCATTACAGGGTATTTAGAATCAACTAACAGATAATGAACTATGGTTTCTGTATAATCTCCTTGTCTATAAAAGTTTTTCTTTATACTATCACATATAATAAAATCCAATAAGATACAACATGTTAAGACCTATGGAGACAGATGAACAAAAGCTTGATGGGACTTCAAAACAAGATGATACCAAATCAGCACTACCAATTATGACGTCGTTTTCTCCAAAATAGCTGTTCCTATCATCCAATCTTCTCTGCCTCATTTCTGTTGAGCTCTTTTTCTGTCATTAGGTGTCAGTTTGTCTTCTTCATTTTGTTTTCTGCTCCATTCATTGTGGCCTCTCTGCCACTATTTCTGCATTCTTCGTGTTTTTCTTTTTTAGAATATCCTGCAGGATTTTCTGTAGAGTTGAATTGGTGGTTGCATATTCCTCTAGTTCCTCTTTATCCTGAAAGCACCTTATTTTTTCCATCAATTTCCAGGGATAGTTGTGCAGGATGTCTCAGTCTTAGCTGGAGGTTATTATCTTTTAAAGCTTGAATTATTTCCCCCCACGTTCTTCGTGATTTGATGGTTTGTGCCGAGAAGTCTGCTGTAATTCTGATGGGTGTTCCCTTGTAAGTGATTTGTTTCTTGTCTCTGACAGCTTTTAATATTCTGTTCTTGTATTGGATTTCTGGGATTTTGATTATTATATGCCTGGGTGTAGCTCTGTTTCGGTTGTAGGTAGCTGGGGTCCTGTATGCTTCATCCATCTGAGTATCTTTATCTTTTGCTAAATTAGGAAAATTCTCCTGTATTATTTCTATGAGTAGCTTTTGTAGTTCATTTGTTTGTGTCCCTACCTCTTCTTCTATGTTCTTAATTCTTAAGTTATAGAAACATCTTTGTTATTTTTAAGAAGTTTTTCATTTCATGTCCCCATATTACAAATCTGCCTTCCAGTTCTGATAATCTATCCTTAGTTTCTTTCAAGCTGTTATGCCAGTTTTCGATAGAGTTTTTAGTTTCCTGGTAATCTCTTTGAACCTGCTTCACGTATTCTATGCTTTCTCTATTTTCTCCATCAAACAATTCTCCCCTCTTTTTCTGTTCTACCATTCCACCATCTGTTTTTTCTTGGGTGGTGCTTAGCATTTCTCTAACTATTCTGCTTATGTCTTGCTTCAGGTCATTAATAACTTCATTCCTGAACTCATCTATGAGGCTCTGGAGATAGCGCTTTATGTCTATTGGTGCCGTGTCTGCTATTGCCTGTTTCTCAGGTTTGGGGGCTGAGGAACCTTTCTTGTTGCTCCCTCTTCCCATATTCTTTGTTCCTTATATATGCAAGCGTATGTAGGAGGCCCAGCTTCCTTCCCTGTCGGCCACAGTCTGATTGAATTGCACCGGCTAGGTGTTCCCACCCACTGCAGCGCACCAGGGAGTTACGGACGGGGCAGCCTATGCGGCCCGACCCTCTAGGTCAGTCTACCTAAGGCTTCACCACTATGGTGCACCTCCAGGTGCTGGGACCTGGGTTGTGCTAGCCTACTGGGTCTCAGCCAGCAGTGTCACGTAAGCTAGGCACTGCTCACCAATCCCGCTTGAGAGGGGGATATGTGACTGAAGTCACTACAGTGCCCTGTTCTGGCAAGTCTGCCCGGTCCCAGAATGTCCTCTGTTGGAGCCTCCTAGACCGTGGAAGAGTCCCAGTTTCCCTCACTCCCTGAAGGTCGATGCCCGGCTCCCCGCCCATCCAGCTCTCAACTCCGTTCACCGATTCCCGTTCTCAGAGCTTTCGCACGTCTTTCTCCCTGCCAAGCCAATTCAGACGCAGCAGCGATGGCAGGAAACCCAAATTGTGGCTTCCAATGGTACGGGCTCCAGCTTCCATGCTGAGGCTTTTCTGCTTCTGTTATAGCATCAGCATTGCGTTCCCAGTAGGTTTCTCTCAGCCCAGTTCGTTCTTGGGTCATCAGGGTATATCTCCTCTTGGTTAGGATTCCTCATTCCCCACCATTCCTGGATTCTAAGCTGGGTCTCACAGAGAGCCTCATAGCTGCTGCTATCTGTCCACCATGTTCCCCCAGAAGCCCACCCCCTGTATTTCTTAAAAAGTGGCAGTTAATAATGCTTAATCCTGGTGCCTTTCAGCCCCACTTTGTCATTCTTGACATACGTGATTCATAGGCTCTTTTACATGGAATTTTTATATAGCCTTCAGAATTTATAAAAGCATCATTAGTTTATCGTTTTCTGACAAGGTTACGCATTAGTGAATACAATTTTAAAAGGTTTTTTATACTAAGAATCAGATTGCTGCTTCACACAGTGCCACACATCTGTAGTCCCAACTGCTTGAGGGAGGCTAGGACAGGAAGGACCACAACATGGACAGCCCTGTTTCAAAATAAATAAATCAAAAGAGATAGGGGTGTACCTGGTTGTAGAGCACTGTTGGGTTCAGTCCACAGTAACACACACATGCGCCCACACACACACACACACGCACACACACACACACACAGTTGCCCACACAGCCATATATACATTGTACTACATTGGTTGTTAGTGAGAATTAGTCAAACATAGATCACAAACTAAGCACTACTTATAATTATTAGAGTGATGGCTAGAAATAGAACAAAAAAATGCTGCCTTCAAATGATAACTAGCACTGAACTTCAATGAAGTTTTCGAATGACCATAATCAGCATTGAACTTTAATGACGTTTTCGAGTTATCATAGCCAGCACTGAAGTTTAATGAAGTTTTTGCTAAGTGGTGGATGATAATGGTGCTCCTCATAGGTACCCTTCACTTGACGTTTTGTAACTGTACATTGAGCTAAATGTGGTAAGAAAACAAACAGAAAATGTTTTTTCCTACCATTGTCTTCAGACGTGAGTCATCTTTTCCCTTTTCTTTCCGTCATGGTTATTTTCTATATATTGCTTATTAAAATAAATTATCATCACAATTCACTTCCAGGCATTTAAAAATGCAATCCAATTTAAATCTTCAGTCTCCCCGTTTCTGATCTCTCTGTGATGTAGAAGGAGGTAGAGGCATTGTTAGCTTCTTGTACACCTCCTGCTCTCCTCACTCAGCTGTTTCTGACTTTTCTCCCCTTTTCAGTGAGTTGGAAGAAGAGACGAGCTGTATTTTGGGACCAAGGGCTGCTCTCCTTTATACCCTCTGTGTGTGGTATCTGCTATCCAAGTGGGTGCCGTCTTTCCCAGGGGCTCTTGGTCAGTTGTCTGCAAGTCCCTGCTGTGGGTGTCTGGATGTTTGTGTCACTCCTCCTCTGCCCTAGTTCTTGTTCCAGCATGCTATTTTGCATTTTCTTCCTGTTGGGATCACTATTGGGATTCTGCAGCCTCCTGTAGCATCTGCTTAGCCCAAGGAAAGCATGCAGCTGAAGGAGGGTGAATGCAGGGCCTTCACACTGAGCTGCATCCCCAGTCCTTTTTTATTTTTATTTATTTATTTATTTATTTTTGCTTTTGAGACAAAGTCTGAATAAGTTGCTCCAGCTGGACACAAACTTGCTCCTCCCTCAGCTCTCAGGTGCGGGGTTCTAGGCAGGTGCTACCCTTCCCAGTTAGACATGAGGCTTTTCCACTCTGCCTTTTTGTTTGCTCAGCCCTAACAGGCTACTCTAGCCTGTCTCCTAACTTTTAAATTCCCAAGATAGGGACACACATTAGCCTCTGTAGCCATGTGTAAGCTGCAACAGCTAGGGATACATTTCAGGTTTCTGCAAGAGTTCTTACCCTTCTGTCTCCACTGCCCTGGTACACTATGGTCGGCCTCTGAGTTCCTGCAGTGCACTATGTCAGGGGTTGGAGTGTAACACACCGGTGTCTCCTTCTGGGAGCCACACCCAGTCTCTAGGACTGAGTCTCTTTGAGTGCCTCTCTCACTTGGTTTAGGGGAGCAGAGTTGGTGCCTCAGAGGGAGGAAAGAAAACATTTCTACTAAACTGAAAACTCACAACTTTCCTCCCTCTCTGAGAGATCTCTGGTCTTTTTTACGTACCTGGGCAGGGTGAGGATAAAAGGACTCTTCTGGTCTTCCTTAGCAAACCCTTAAGCTTAGATGGTATCTCTTTGGTCTTTTGCCATAAACATGAAAATTTATAAGTTCTCATAGCCCATTATTTTCAATTTTGAGGCTTAAGCTGAAATTCAGAGGCTACTAGAAAACGCATGGTCTATTTAGATACATTTAAAATGCCATTAGAATATAATATTTCACTCTTCTTGTCTAAGATAGAAAGTAACAGACATGAAGTTCCAGCCTAGGCCTGCTTGGCTGCAAAGCCTGTATTCTTAGTTAGCATGCTGAGCTGTTCCCTAGTTGCACAAGCCTATGAATTAGTGCCAGATTGCCTAAATGGTTGTTATTTGTCTTGTGTTTGTTTTTTGCTCAGTATGTAGATTTTTGGTCTTAATTGGACATAGGATATACGAGATGTTAATGTATTGTTTTAAAGCATAAATTAATTGTAGCTGCTTTTGGTTTGCCTTATAAATTTCTAATCAAGAATTTCACAGTGAAAAATTCCATTAATAGAATTGAAAACGGTGATGTTTCCATTTTCCAGGGAGACCTGGGAAGAGTGCGCTCAAAGAGAAACCTGGGAAGAAGCAGCGCTTCGCCTGAAAAATATCCGCTTTGCCTCCGTGGTAAATTCTTTCATTGAGAAGGAGAATTATCATTATGTCACTATATTAATGAAAGGAGAAGTAGATGTGACTCACGATTCAGAGCCAAAGAATGTTGAACCTGAAAAAAACGAAAGTAAGAGAACCATGTATCATAGTGCATGTTGGGGACTGTGTTGTCAGGAGTGTTGCACTATGTTACTACATGCATAGAGCTAGACTCTCTTCACATGCATGTCCTCCCCAGATTTATATGTTGACATTCTAGCCCCCAAGATGATGGTTGATAGAATTGTGGCGTGGCTGAAAAGAAGTATGAAATATAAATGACATTTATTTTAAGTATGTGGGGAGAGACCCCCGACCCACCGGGGTACCCTGACCCTCCGGGGTCCGGCATTCTCTCCCTAGGGGTGGTGATCTCTCCCCGGGGTCTGGGAATCTCTCTGTTGGGCATGTGGAGTTGGGGGCATACATGCAGTTTAGGTTGGAGGTGATTCCTGAGGGCATTAGGGATGCACAGGTAGCCCACTGGTATTCCTTTTGCACCAAAGGCAAATTCCTAGGGGTGGGGAGGACAGAGCTCCTTGGTTTTGCCTCTAAGGCTTTACCAGCTACAGTGTCCTGTCTGGGCAAAAATCCTTTCATTCCCATCTTATTATTATTATTGGTAAAAAGGGCAGTTTTCTTTCTGTTACTGTTTCCTGCTGGAAAGGGGCACTGTACTGGGGTTTCAGGGAGTCGACAGGATGATGGTTGATGCCTATGTAGAAGCTGGTGCCAGATGTTTTAGCCAGGACAGCTTATCACTGGTGAATGCACGTATGTTAGACTGGAAAAACAAAGAGACAAAATGTTATGAGGAGGCATGGCACTGTCATATTTAAGGCCCCAGGTGAGGTAAAAGGAAAGGTGCCTTTGATTTTGCTATGTCAGTATATCAGTACCACGTTGAGGTAGAAGCATTGCCATAGTAAGATAGAATTCTGAAAAATAAATGTGGGGTTAGGAGGAGTGAAGTTATTGGAGGTGATTACTCCCCCATCTGAAAGGGTAAAAGTTAAAAGGGTAGGTAGGCAAGGCTTGTTTCTGATATGTATGATGTGGGAGTCTTTAGGAAATACTGTTAAGAGTCTTGCTGTAAAAAGAATAAGAAATTAGAAACCGAATTGGATAACAAAACGTGATAGCCTGAGAGTTGTGGCTGTGAGGCCTTGGTGAGATGGAGATGAGTAGGCAAAATACCGGTTAGATTTAGGGCTATAAGGGCACCACTTAGCCTGAGTGATGTGAAACCAGGATGGCAGTGTAGCAACTTTGATTCTTGAGGTTGCCAAGAATACCAGGTATGGGTCGCTCTAACCTGGTTGTAGTCCTTGGAATGATTTGCTGTAACAGGACTTTAGTAAGTATATCAGCAGTCTCCCTGGTTGTGTGAAAGGCTTTTATGTATCCTGAAAAAGTATAAACAAAGTGAGAAGACAAAATGTCAGTCTTGACCAGGGTTGTCTGAGAAATTGGTGAATAAGAAAGGAAGGGGTGGTCTATATCACTGAGGAGAGGTTTACTAGCCATAACAGGTGTAAGCTGTTGAGACCTCAGAGTGTCTAGGTCAGTCTGTAAAAACACAAGGGAATAAAAAGAATATTTAAGATTTAGGACTGTAGAGTGAGTGGCGGAAGGAAGATCTGGCACCACTGGGTGGATTGGGAAGAAGGAGTCTGGGAGAAGGAGTTTGGGACCTGCATGAAATAGGCCCTGTTTGTAAATGGCATAGGTTGACCATCAATATCCCCTAGAGACCAAGGCCTTTTTATAGCAGCCTGAAAACTCAGGAAGAACTCTGTTTATATGGCCTCTATGTCCACAAGTATAGAGAATGTCTTACCTGAGACTTTTGGTGGAACTTGGACTCTGAGACAGACACCTTCACAGGGGCTGTTATTGGCCCTGAGCCTCGGCAGTCTTCAGCAGCATGTTTAAGCAGATCTGTCAGTGATGAATCTGGCAGTGTTGGCATTTCCTGTGAGGGCTCTTAGTTAGGATGGCTTACCCACTCTCTGGTGGCTAGAACAGTCCGGTAGTCCTGGGGTAAGATCCCAAAGGAATGTCAGGATGGGGCACTCTCTTGCCCAATTTGCTTTCTGCTGCATTTGAGGAATTGTCCATGGGGGAGGCCCAGGCAGCTCCACCTTGTGTCGGTTTACCTGTCTCAGAACTCCAAGTATCACAAGTGTTATCTCTGTTCTTGAAAACACGAAAAGCCATATTAAGGAGGGCTCTATGAGATTTGAAAGTCAGGTTTTGCCTTTTTGTTTTGGGATCTAGTCTATAGTAGAAGGTATCTATAGAACTAAGTAAGTATGCAGGAGTCAAATATACTTTAGTAATGGCTTCCCATAAGGAGGACAAGGTCTAGAGAATTTTAGGAACTGACATGTCATGTATGTCATATGTAAGTATCTCTTTATGTTACTAAATGTCTAATGCCATCTGAGTTTTGGAGGATGGCCTGTTTAATTAATTTTTACCTTTTTATTTAGGAGCGAGATCAGCTATGGTGTCATTTAATATCAGTTGAATATAGTTAATTATGGCTCAGTGGAGGGCTGAGCCAGGACAGGCAGACAGGCTGGGAAAGGTTTAAGTTTGGCTTCTGCACAGTGTTGGATTTGATGTTTTGTATATGTCATATACCTCTTGTTTTGGAAAAGAGCTAGTGGTTCCCAGCAAAAGGAATTTATAATTATGTCTTAATTTTAGTTGTTAAACATGTAGGAGATTGGTAACAGTACAGTACAATATAGGCAGTAAGCTTAATATCAACCATGACCATTTTTAGAAGATTGGTAACAATACAGTACAATATAGGCAGTAAGCTTAATATAAAACATTAAATGGCTATTAACCATGAGAATTTTAACATTTGAACACTGAAGAAATTTGTGAAACATCTCTAAGCATATATCTGGATCTGAAAGAAAACATTTGTCATGGCTGGAACACAAGAAGAAGGCAGCAGAAACTATCCAAATGTTGTATCTGAAAGCACGAATACACCACCAGACTAGCAACAATGAGTTGTCTTACTCTCGTGAACTTTAGTTGAGGTATCTCATATAAGGCTATGGAGATTATTGAAGGCTTTAATTGATAAACAAGGCTGGTAAAATTACCAGGTGGCCACTTCCCCATTTATCTCTATTGTCTTTTTATCACAGTTTATTTAATCTGAATAAACCTTGATTAAAATGGTTTAAGAATGTAAAAAAAGGCTGGTGTGGACCAAGAAATAACATCTCTGATCTGAGCCACTAATCTGCTGGTCATCTGTGTTTGTGCTCAGAGCAGCGCTTGTGTTTGGGGGGTTGGGGGCTGGGACTGTTTGGGAGATGTGCAGTGCCTAGGGCAAGGATGAAACTCTGAGGGTGGGTGGGGTGTGCCCAGGGTGGGGGCAGCGCACATGGAGTGGGTGGGGTGAGCGCCAGGGCGTGCAGCGTGTGGAGCAGAGCCGGAATTGCTCTGGGGACAAGTGCAGGGCAGGGTGGAGTGCAGAACTGGGTTTACAGCATGAAGCTGGGACTGCTCACTGAGGTGAGGCAGGTAGCTGGGACCGACGCCTAGCTGGGCGGCCACGTGGAGCCGGGCGCGTGGAGAGCGTGAGAGCCGGACCCAGAGTGCTGCTGGAGCTCACATGAGAGCTTAAAGCAGCGGTACTGCCCAACACTGTTTGGGCTCAGCTCCCCCATCTCGGTGGGGAATGGGTCAGTGTGCGGCGGGCGGGCAGGCGGGGGGGGGGGGGATAGAAAGGGGAAGAGCACATTCTCAAAACAAAGGCTTAAATATAGACAGTTTTGTAAACTTGTCATCAGTGTGATAAGCTATAAACAGGTATGGTTTTTTGGGGGGGACAGGAAGTGGTCCCCAAGATAAAATCTGGTGTGGTCCTGGCCCACAGAATCACAGCCAAGTGAGGCAATGGACTGTGGTCCAAAGGTTGGAATGTCACTCGTTGTCCTTTGGAGTGAACGGTAGTTATGATGAGTTCCAAATCTCATATTTCTCAGTCGTCACCGAGAATTCCACGAGTGGATTTCTCGTAGATTTTTAGTAATGGCTCTGCCCGTGAGAGCTTAAAGCTCTGAAGGATGTGAGAGTTGTTCAGTGTGGGACCTGGCCGAGAAAAACTCTGCCTTGGGCTGTCTAAGGATGGGAGAGCATCTTGCAAAGCCACGGAAGGGGAGAAAACCTGCGTGGGGCCTGGCCCAGCACTGAAGAATTCTCCAGAGTTTGCTCACCTGTGATAAATGAATTAGACTAGTGTTGTTTGCAAACCAGCAGCAACAGGTTTAACAGCTCCTGAGTGAAGAGAAGTGAGGAATTAATCTGGTACGCAGTCCGGTCTGCAAACGCCAGGGGACTCAGGCTAGCAGGGTCCCAGGAGTCTCTTCTCTGCCGTTCCCGGTCAGGGAACCATATGATAGAGTTGTGGCACGGCTGAACATAAGAAGTATGAAATATAAATGACCTTTATTTTAAGAATGTGGGGAGAGATCCCTCAACCCTCTGGGATACCCCGACCCTCCGGGGTCCGGAATTCTCTCCCCGAGGGTGGAGATCTCTCCCTCGGGTCTGGGAATCTCTCCATCGGACATGTGGAGTTGGGGCATACATGTAGCTTAGGTTGGGGTGGTGCCTAAGGGGCTTTAGGGATGCACAGGTAGCCCACTGGTATTCCTTTTGCGCCAGAGGTAAATTCCTAGGGGCGGGGAAGACAGAGCTCCTTGGTTTTGCCTCTTAAGGCTTTACCGGCTGCAGTGTCCTGTGTGGGCCAAAATCCTTTCAATGGTAACAAGAGATGGAGCCAGTGGGATGTGGTCAGATCATGAGGGCTTTGCCTTGATGAATGGGGTTAGTGTCCTTGTAAAGGAGACTCCAGATAGACACTCATATCCAGATGAACAGCGAAGGTAGCTGCCTGGGAAACAGGAAACGGGCTACCAGCAGACACTGATTTGGCCTGTGTCTAGCATTTTCAGCTTCCAGAACTCAGAATATTTTCCATAAGCCACCTAGTGTAAGGTGTTATGCCAGAAGGCCACACAGAGGAATACTGATATAGCTAATGTAAATAAA